AGCAGCAAGAACTTACTGGCCATCATTATTATGGCTTTCCAGGGTCCATGTCAGCCAGAGGCTAGAACCAGGAACAGAAGCCATGCCAGGCACTCTGCTAAGGCATTCCTCATCAATGTCTTAATTAGCAGGCTAAAAACTCACCTCTAACTTTGATTCCTTAGTTTACCAACAGAATAACAGTTTTTCATAAATGATTTTTTGCTGAGTAAAGATATGAGATGATTCTTCCCATATATTCTTTAAATGGTCATTTATTAAATTTCTAGCGGAAATAGATATTCACATCTCAGAAAGCTTGAAACAAAACACTGAAAGTACATTTGAGTTTTTTCTTTATAGTTTACCTCCTAACAATATACTAAATATGCTATTTTGCAAATAATACATTTTTTAGATTGAAGTTGACTTTGGAAAAGCCACTGATTTTTCTGAACTGCAATTTCTTGATCTAAAAGTAGACAAAATGCCTCTTTTTTAGATATCTATTTCCCAGACTTGATGCAAGAATGCAAGTAAAATCACAGATGTTGGGCAAAAGTTCTTTATACCACAATGTATCATACAAATAAGCTTAACCTGTTCTTCCTTGGTTCTCTATTAATGCAAACATTCTTAGTAGAATGATAATACCCATTTGTGTTTTCCACTGCATCATTTATTTGAAATTGGTGTGATACTGCCACATATCTGTATATTAGTCAAGCTGATTATGCCTGAACTATTAATTGATACTGTTTTCAATTCCTAGAAAGTAAATTTAAGCATCCATCTCTTTGAAGGGAGTTAACCAGACATCCTGAAGAACTTGAAAAAGAACCTGGCATAGAGTTAACTGTCTTTCTATATGGGGAAGAAGCCTAATCTAATTAATAGTGTCAAATTCTTTTCTTCCTTAGTGAACAAAGAAGGCATTCTGACATTGTTCTGCTCTTGTGTAACAAGTGGACATCTCAGGACAGTAATTCCAGCCTGCACATCCACAGAGGGTGTTACCAAGGGAGAAAGGGCAAGACTCCGTCACCAGACAAAACTGCTTCTCTAGAATGAACTCTAGCACATTTACAGAAGCAGGTCCAATGTTCCCACGCACAGATTCCCTTTCACATTGCATTTTTAAAAATTTCAAAATACTTCATGTGATAACAATGTCCAGAGTGCCCAATTTTTTCCTGGATGTATTCTTCAGAAACAAATAAACATAGTTAATATCATGATTGGCCAGCTGAATCCTAGGAGAGCAGTGAAAATAATAATAGCAGGTGGAAATATATGTCTACCAACTTAAGAATGCATATTTTATGGGGCAAACAGTGACTCTATGATGGATTTTTCAAAGACCTCATAGTGCTTGGAGTGGCAAGATTGGCAGCGATTCATAACTGTTGAAATATCAAACCACCTGAGCAAGAACCTCAGAGCATACCCTACATCTGGGGCCTGGGGATGGTGGAAAATTGGGTGGGCTTTCTCCCTTAATACCCTCCTTTAAACATGAAGGAAACAATATGGGAAAAATAATAGTCTCACCCACTTTCCTGTAGCCCTTGAACCTTTTTACCCTAATGTAAAGATTGTCAAAATATAATAAAAAGAATGTATATTTTTTTGTTTCATTTCACAGGGAAAAATTAATGAAATGACTGATACACCATATAACTAGAAGAAGCAGATTGATAAAAACAGTAAAGCCATTTGATGTTGAAAGTTGGACAACAGTCCTTGTTTCAGCCTTGATCACTTTGTAATTTCAGTTGCTCATTTAAGCAAAACTTTTCTCATATCCACCCAGATCATAATCATCTTCTGTTATCCATTTAACACGATTTTGGTGAGTAAATTATACTGTTTATATAAAACGCATATAAAACAAACATGTCTAAACTTAAAATACAGGCAAAATATGAAGATAAAGTATATATAAAATTGCAGCCTATATACAGTTATTAACATAATAATGACACAAACATTCATCTGCATACACACATAGCTCTACAGGTTATTTCTAAGAACACTGAAAGATTAGCTGAAGATTTAAAAATACGTTTGACTTACATTTTTACAGAAGTGAATGAAAGTGAGAATAAGCATTTCAGAATGCCTTCCTCTCCACGTATGCCCTGGTTTCCACAGACTAAGCTCAAACCCTTGCTGACTCCTGAGTTGGGGCATTCAAAACCCTTCCCTGCTGAGCTAAGTTAGTGTAATGCGGCTTTGGTTTTCAGACTACCCTATTAAATTCTAAATTTTCACCCATAGGTAAGTCCCACAATGACAAGCACTGATTAATTGTACTAGCACATTAAGAGGATGACCACTTGCCCTAATAACTCTAGAGACAAAAGTGCAGTGTTCAGGCTGCCGAGGATTGCTTTATCGCACTGTATAATCTAAGTTTCTTTCGACTCGTGTATTTCTTTTTAGCTCCTTCCTTTCCATCACAGTTTAAAGTACTAGACCACCTTAAATCAACTCACTGTCAAAGTCTTCTATTGTTCTCTCTAAACACTACTGAGCTGTTCTCATCTGTTCTCCATATTATACCTAGCCTCATCTTTATAAAATGTGCATCTGAGAAAGCCATGTCTCCAGCCTTTTAAAGACTGCATGCCCGTACCGTATACACTGCCTTACACCAGAAATGTCTTTCCCCCACAGGTATCTACTGGTCACCTCCTTTAGACCTACTGAGCCTTCCGCTTTCAGCTTAGACATCGTGTCTTATTTACTATGTTTCAACACCATGCTTTTTTGGGTACTTTTTCAACATTATCCTCCCCTAGAATATAAACTCCATTAAGTAGCGGTACCATGTCAAATTGTTTTGCTGAAATGAAGAGTGTCACAAAGAAAAAAAAAACTACAGAAACACACAAGATGTTGTTTTCCTAAGAATCATATGCATTAATGTTGCATTAATTGAATTGTTCTTTAAACTGTATAAATTCTACACACCTCTTTTAATAAAGCATAAACTTCCAACAACTAAGCCTCTCTCAGAAGATGCAGGAAACAACTTCGTAATAAAAACCATTATATGGCTTTCTAAGGGGTCCTGAGAACAATTTGTATGAGCCCAACCAGCAAGCAACAGCTCATGGACTCATATGCTTTGTATCACTGCTTTTAATTTAAAATTTCTTTTTAAGAGGTGTTTTTTAATATCACTGGATGTGCAAAGTCTGTTCTGAATTTATATAATTTAAAATCAGTCTTAAAAGCCCGTGATTTATGAATACACGGACTTGATGATGGTTTACAACATTTTTTCCTCCTGACAGGAGACCCAAGCTGGGAGGAATAAAACATCCCAATTCTCATTAATGGAAACAGAGCTGAACAGACAACTGTAGCTGCTGAAGGATACTGAAGCTGCCAGGAAATTCTAAAAGCAAAACCAAGGCTGGGCTGGCAGATCAATGTGCCTTTCATGTACAATCCTGAAATATAAAAACCATGGGATTTCTAATGTTAACAGACACTTCTGTCAATATTGATTTAGGCACTTATTTGTTATATATTATTGAAGAGATCAGAGAAATACTTTACAAATCTCGATCCCAGGGAAGATGTATTCATACACTTTCCACTCCATTTCCAACTTCTGGAGGGGCAACTGAAGCTTGTTATTCTATTTACTAAAGACAGTGAGTGTATGCATTTCTTCTGTTATAGAAAACTAACTCTAAAAAAAAATTATAGAAATAATGGATCCATATCAGTGTTAGAGGGGTCTAGGATTGAATTGAGAGTATCCCTAAAGTCTCTTCATCTACAATCCAATCATGTACCAATCACTGAACTCCTACTATGTGAAAAATGGCTTCCAAGCTCATACAACAGGAGAGGACACAGACGGACAGCAGCTAGTCCAGCACTCCCAGGCAGGTAAACACAGACGTTTCTCAGACCACAACTGTGGAAAACACCCACTTAAGCACTTCAAACATGTTTCTCAGCCCAGTTCAGATTTGCTCAGCTTTAGTTAGCTCTTTGATCCCTGCACACCTCAATTGAAACACCAGCAGCTTCAGCTAAAGCCAACAGTTCTGCTCTGCTAAAAACTATTCCAAACGTTGTTATCCAGTTGCTTTTGGAGTGTTGGCCTCTTGGCGCTTCCTCACGGCAGAGAGCTTGAACAGAACACAGGGAAGAACCAATAACTTAAAGTTTTTTAAATTTCCAGAAAAAGTAATATTTACCCACTTCAGCTTCACAGTTAAATCCATTACAGAGTGTACTGGGGGATGAAAGTCATCAGCAGTATGGCTGTAAGCTCCCTGAAGGAACCACAGCCTTTTCCTACAAAGTTGGCCACTGGAGAGTGTTTGTTAAATTGAAGAAAACTCTGAGTCTCATGAAAAGATGAGTTTCTAACTACAGCATCATGTTAATTTAAAATGCAAAGAGCCAATGGATCAAGGTGGATTGTTTCTGTCCTTGTACAGAGTCAAGATATTCTTCTGGTCATGACTGGCACACCTACATGGGGATGGGGTCTATGAAGGTTATCAACACTCAGTCATACTTCAAATAAGATAACAGCACATCCTTTAAAATTTCCCACTGGTCTCTCAACCAGGCACTCTGCCTCATACTCACTCACTCATACAAGATTATACATACATACACACACATACATATACATACACACACACACACAAGAATGTTCATTCAGGAATGTATACTTTTATATATATACATAAAGTACATGTATATACTTTTTAATATATGTTACATATATACACACACACACACAAGAATCTATGCAACACCTACTACCTGCTTGGCTTTGTTGTAAGTGCTTATAATACATCCTGGGGGAAAAACAAATGTAGCTGACATTCTACTTCATTTTCTGAGTGAAGACCTTTTGGAAAGGTACCCACCCTGTGCCTGGAACTGCACTTGCAGAAACTTGGCATGGCATCTATTGGAAAGGAAGCTGTTCACAAGCAGGACAAAATTGCAATATGGAAAATAATCACCATTTCTCTTACCTTGTAATGAATTGAAGATGGAGAAGAGGTACATGAAAGCGATATTTAAGGGTCCCCAGGCAAAGAAAGCAAAACCCCACGTCATGCCCAGCAGGAACGTCAGGCTAACCACGCTGCGCAGGTTTCTTAAAACCTCTTCTCTCAGGGTCCGGCTGCTCCTCTTGCCGTTCCTCCCACAGATTTGCACCATGACCACAATGAACATGGCAACGTTCAGAAAAAACATGATTCCAAAGTACCCAGTGCAGGTCACATAAAATATGACTGGATCCTGAATCCAACAGCTTGAAAAAGAAGAAATGGGAAAGAGATTTACAGCTTGAAAAAGAAGAAACAAAAGATTCATTGTCATGCTGTACTCTGTCTATTAGGACTTCCATTCACTTAGTTTGTACCACTGTAGAGTTCTCTTTCAAATGCCTTTTGAAAAGTTACTTTGCATCCCTGGCCTTCAATTTCATCTTTCATCTTTTCAGAGGTATTTGGTTTGCGTTTCTTCATAGATGACTGTCATTTTAATATCTAGCTGTAGTTTTAATATTAATGTCATTTAATATCTAGGTCATTGTCAAAAGGAAAATCAGGTGGCTTTTTCAATTCTGACTTGATGTCAAACTACTCTTGCTCACCCCAAACCATATATGAGCACCTTTTCTCTTAGAAAGGAAAATTTAGCCACATTTTTTTCTTTTAATTTAAACGGTGTCCTACAAAATAATATGGAAGCAGAAATCTACCCAACAGATTTTGGAGAGAGCTATTGTTGATGGACCTGTTAAACTCCCTTATCCCTGCTGCATGCTTCAAACACAACAGTGCCAAAGCTCTAACAGTCATCTAATGCAAAGCCAAAGGAAGTCAACATCAGCTGCAGAGCTGTTGGTCCTTGCATTTTTAGCCAGAAAATTCATGTCAGTGGTTGTCTATTTCCATGCGTTGTGTCCTAGGCAAAAAGCAAACTGATACTCATTTAAGCCAAATGTAATTTGGGTTCATTACTGTACACAAAATAACTGCCATCAATATTACAACAGAGAACATGGAATTCTTATAGACACTACTGACCAATGATTATAAATATATACTGAATAAAAATTATGCTTGTGAGATGCCAGAAATATATACATGATATTCAGATAACAAATGTCAAAAAGTTGAAACCTTACTTTGGGAAAATACACTACAAGCAAAGTTGACAACCACTTTTGTAATTTTCAGATGTTGTATTACCTTATTAATGCACTACAAATTGTTAGACTCCTCAAAAACTGAGTCTGATTTAAAGAAAGTAATGTCCCATGGCAATCCTACTTCATGTCCCATTTGCTACACTTCTGATGACGCTTTCTGTGAATAGCCTGGGCAAAGAATGCAAAGATGACCCAGTGCCTGGGTCCCTGTCACCTATGGAGAGACCCAGAGGAAGCTCCTGGCACAGCCCTGGCCACTTGGGGAGTGAACCAGAAGATCAAAGATTTCTTTCTCTCTCTCTTTCTCTCTCTCTACACAGCCCCACTCCTTCAAATTAAATAAAAACAAAACTTACAGATATTCTAGAATAAAAGAATCTTATTTTCAAACATTCCACAATGGAGCATTACCTCCACAAGGAGAATAGTTGTCCTGCATATCTTGGAATTCTACTATCTAACTGAATTCCTGACTCTTGGCTCAGTTATTAAGACTTGTCCGTAACACAAAGACTTACTAAAGAGTAAAGAACATACATTTAAAAGTGCCTTAAGAAAATCCACTGACTTACATTTTAATAAATCCTATTTTAAAAAAAAATGTTCCTCAAATAAGGCTATTTGTCCCTATAGATAACTTTTCTTTACACCTTGATGATTCGCCAAAGTCTGGGAATTCATGACCTAGATCCATGCTGTTCTCCTCCTTTTGAGTCTGTTCTAGAAACATGAAAAAGCGAAACCAAGAGAGGATGTTACAGCCTGGACAACTGATTGGATAGAGAAGTTATTCAGCCAGGACAAGTGCACAAAGAGACTAACCTTGATCTATACTGAGAGTCACTTTCTCCACTGCTCAAGCATGCAACAATTTCTCTACTTATCCACATTGCACTCACAAGGGCACTGAGTCACTCACAGATACTATTGAACTTTCTGAAAAATATGTGTGGGCTTGAGAAAGTACAAGTTTTGTGGAACGTCCTCATACAAAATGTGTCTCCTGAGACTAGAGGTAGTAACTTGGCCTTCTGGATTGCCTCCAACGACAAAGCACAAGGTTAGCGGGAAAAAGCAGCTAAAACATTCAAATTTTTGAACTGATTCAACCTGTGGTACATTACAGGTGTTGGCATATCATGAAAGTGAACTTCAACCTTTTAAAATGACAGCCTCATGATTGGTACAGACGCTTTACATTAAACCTTTTAAGAAACATATTCTTTGCAGATCAATTTCCACAAAGCTTTCACTACTTACAATTCATCACCTTGATCTTTTCCATAACTTTCTTTTCCATAGACTTCATTTTGGTTTCTGCTCACTAGAACAACTGACACCACTAAGGCAGGTAAACCTGTTTTAAAAGAACCATGACATGAGAAATTCTGAAGCAAAGGGAACTGCTTTACAAGACTGACAATGGGCAAGGGCAGAGAAGAAAGATGAAAACTGCATCGAAATGGAAGTCTGCATTTTAAAGACAAGAACAAAATATCCTTCTTAGCATAGAAAACCCATTTCTAATGGGCAACAGTCAAATTTTACTCTTAGAAGACAGATATTTAAATATTTTGTTTGCTTAGTGGTATCCACCAGAGACCCCGAGCTGGATTTATATTAAATCTAGCACAAACAAATGTGGTTTTATCAATGACACCGTGTCAAACTGCAAGAGTTCAGACAGCCAGTTTTGTCTTTTTCTACACAAAAATAAATAAATAAATAAATAAATTTTTTAAAAAGGGAAGCTTCTCAAGAAAAACTATAAGCAAAACACAACAAGAGAGCCAAAAATTGGTTCCATGGCTGTTTTGGTGGGAAGATGCTCTACAACCTAAAATCCTAATTCCTTGAAATACATATTTTTTTAATTTATTACTTCCTGATGTGTTGGTAAGGATCTTGGAAATATCTCATACTTCAACACTGCCATCTGAAAAAAAATTTGTGGGCAAGATCTACAGTGCCTGCCTGCCCTGATAGGAAATCCACATAATGAAAGGATTTCAAGGAACAGATTTCAAACAGGCCAATACAACTGTCCCTGTCTAACTGAGGACTCATGTTCGATAGCTCAAGGCGAATACTCTGTAACTCCTCTCTTTGCATACACAAAAATAACACTCATTATTTTTAATACAAATCATTTTTTTAAGATCTGGTCAAGTGTCTGGGGATGAGTAAAACACGGAGTCTCAACCGCCCTTCTTATTTTGCCAGCCTAATGGAAACACATCACTGGCTGCCAGCTGCTGCTTCTTTTGGACTTGGGTGGGCTGGCTCTGGGCTCAGGAAATAAACTTTTGGTGACTCAGGAGCTAGGGCTATTCCTTTACTCCTCAATTTAGTGAGTTACTGTGAGACAGTTTTCAGAAAAGTTTATTCAGTAAATGTTCCCAATGTAGACTGTTAACACTTGTACAAATTACTCCGAACAACATTATAGGTTGACATAAAGATTTTCATAGTAGATCCCGGCAATACTCATCAGAAAAAGAAATAAACATCCCTACATTTAAAAGAGCTCACCCCAGCCGATGATGCAGAATTTTAAAATATATCGGCGGATGTAAGTGTTAAACACTTTCACCAGTGCAATGTACATGTGAATGGCTTCTAGTCCCATCCAGGTAAATGTCGCCAGAAGGAAGAAATGTAACAGGGCGGCCACGGCAACGCAAAGCCCATCCACATCAAAGGAAGTGATCCAGCCATCCAGGAGGAAGGTGAGATTGAGGAACAGCAGAGCTGTACTCAGGTTCATCAAGATTTTTGAGGGGTAATCCCTTCGCAATTTCCTAAAGGCACAGGAAGGAAAGAAATATAAGAACTGATATGGTAAATAAGTCACTTCAGCACAGACAGTAAATTCACATCTTATGCAACCCTGTAATAGGTTAGGGGACATTATCTTTTCAACACAGTTCCACCATGGGGAGGACTAAGCATATTTATGAGTATTTGGCTAAGTTGTAAAGATCTTCTAAACATTAATTTTACTTCAAAATGTTTCCAATCACTTACAAAGCCTCCAGTGGTTTTCAACAGATTATTTTTTAATCCAGGAAAATTCTAGAGTTCTAGGAATGACATTTTTATTAAAAACAAATTTCTAGGGGTGGGAATTTGGCATAGCACTGACTTCTTGGGACATCCACATCACGTCCTGGAGAGCATGGGTTCAAGCCCTGGCACTGCTTTCTGTCACAGCTTGAATCTAACGTGTGCCTCAGGGGAGTTAGAAGGTGAAGCTTAAGTCCTTGGGATCACCACCCCCTGTGTGAGAGACCCTAGACTATATTTTCAGATCCTGGTTTCAGCTTGGTCTAATCCTAGTTGTTGCAGGCATTTTGGGAGTGAATCAGTGGATTTCTCTCTCTCTGCCATTCAATAAACAAATGAATTAAAATTTTCCCCAGGCTCTTTTGGAAAATTTTTCCCTGAGTTATGGATAATCTTTCTTCAATTTTCTCTTTTAGGACTTATTTTATATGATCTATGAAGCAAACATTTTCATTTTTTATAATGCAGAAAGCTTTTTATGTAATTTTTAATATACTTCAATGGCAATCATCATACACAGATTTGTATGCATTTAGAAAAAGAAACACAGGAACTATAAATTAAGATTCTATAGCTGGAAAAGCCATGTTGCATGATATATCTTATGAGAAATATGAACGTTGAAATTGAGCCATCCTACAGGATTCACAAAGTGCATAAAGTTTTCAAAGCCAAAGCAATTTTCCTATTTACATTTGGAACAGCCCGTGCTGGGCTTGGCAGAAAGCAAAACACTTACTCAAAAGCAACATATGTCAAGAGAGTTGCTGCTGAGAAAATAGCAGATATTCCACATCCAATATAGGTGATGAAAGTGAGGACTTTATTGTTTCTTGCATCGATTTGTGAGGCACTTCTTGGAAGGTCCTGCACAGAACATGGGAAGCAACCATAAAAATTCCTTTTCTCATGAGAACAGAACATTGTCTCACTAGAAAGTTTACTGCTAACATTGGAGCTGCTCCACCTCGGGGTTGAACAACAACCGTGTGAATCAACACAGAATTTACTGTACTCTTGTGGCTCAATAGATGAACAAAAATGCACCATTCCTGCCAGAAAGACTTCAGTATTATTATTTCTCTCTTTTACCAAAAGTAGTATTACTTGAAGATCAATATTACGGGCTCCTAAATACAAAAAGGAAGCCACGTAGCTTGTTTCGTGAAATAAAGTAGCACATCCATGTCGAAGTCTGCAGGGCTAGTGCCTGGTAGCCAATGCAGTCAGTGCAGTGGCCACGCGGGACTTGGGCCCAGACACAGAGATTCCTTATCTGATAGGGACGCAGGTGTTGCTGCTTGAACTACTTAAAAAATGGATGGCATTAGACTCCAAGCCATTGCCATTTAAGATGGATGAATAATTTTGGCCTTTTTTTTTAGAAGCCACTAAAGGTTTTTGGGCCCAGTTTTTGATCCCTGTTTCACAATTTCAAGTACTAGGGGTATAGTGGGGTAAAAAGAAGTGAACACTATTCTTCATACAGGAAGCATGTATTTCAATGTGCTGTGTCGAACACAAGTGTCTGGGCCACACAGGAGAATCCTGCTTGTTAAAGGAGCGTTTGGAATAGGAATGAATCACGAGGGAAGACCAACTGTTTAATCCAGATGTGTGGAGAAAGTCACCTCCACTATGCAGATGTTTAAAAGTGGAGCCTTCCTGGAGAAGGAAGGTCTGGAACTTTCAGGTCTACGATCATGAAAATGGCTTGTCTTACAGGCTATTCCTTTTATTTGTTACCATTCTTCCAGTTTTTACCGAAATATTAAAAAAAAAAAACTGCTATTCACAAATAGGCCCCTAGTAAGTGGCATTTTTATGTGTGAAAAGAAATGCATAGGTGTAAAATGAAAACATGGGAGTCAATTTCAGGTATGACTGATAAAGTAAGGAACAGATAGAAGACATTTGTGACACCAAAAATTGCATAGAATGATGGAATTCAGCAGAATCAGGGCCTCAGAGTCTTCTCCCAAGAATCATGGGACGGGCTTCATGTCAGTGGCACTAACTCACACAAAGGCTGTATGAACCAACATTCCCGTCGCTACTAGATTTCATAGGACAAAAAAGTCCATCACATACTTGAAGGATTTCCAAGATATATCACTGCTTCAAAAAAAATTCCATGGCTCCCATGTAGTTAAGGCTACTGGATTGTAAGCTGCAGTTAAATTCAGTATCTAAAGTAAAAATATCATTAAATATTGCTACTCACTGATAGACACGAACACTCTGTTGTTATTTTGAGACAATGAAAATATTTGGCTGAATAAACCAACATGACACCAAAAATTTGCTAGTGCTAACAATAAGAAAGTCATGTTTACTGAAACAAATTTAGCTAGGGAGGGCATTAAGTTCCTCATGCATTTATAGATTAGAAGACACAACCATGGGGCAGGTTTTTGATCTAGTGGTTACAATGTATGCACCCTATCTCAGAGCACCTAGGTTTAACATCCAGGTCTGGCTCCTGACTCTAGCTTCCCGCTAAGACAGACCCTGGAAAGCATCAGTGAAGGCTCCTAGGACTGAGCTCCTGCCGTCCATGCTGCAGACCCAGGATGAGTTCCTGCCTCCTGGGTCTGAACACGAGGGGCATCTGAGGAGAGAATCTGTGGTAGCTCATATCTCATATCTCATTTAAGGAAGCAACTAAATGCACAAAAGCAAAGACATAATTATGGATGAAAGGAAATTTAGACCCCATGATACCCTGGGCAAGTCAATGAAGCGCTTGTAAGTAAGAAAAAACTCTCAACCAAGTTTTGGTGGTCTGAAATAGTTAAAAGGATATGGGTGTCTCTTCACAAAGAATAAATTCTTTAGATTTTTCTTCCAGCTCTTTATGGTCCTATAAAGGCAGCCAGCGTGGTAAATGGAAAAACAGCACTCAAAAATGCAAAAATGTACCTAATATATGAATGAACTGGCTACTGAAAGAAATGGGGTTTTGTTGCTTATTTCACATTGACATAACACAATCACCCATGTGTACATACACAGTTGAAATATTTGAATTAAGCTAAAACATATATCTGAGTAAATAATTATGCAAAATCAGTGTTTTCTGAAAGAACGTTATGATTAATTTTGGAGAAAAGAGAAAATGGAAGAACACAGACTTCCTTTTATTAACTACATAGAGAAAACATATCACAATTGTTCATGCCCTGACAGTGAAAAGATTTATATTTTGAAATAGTTAGTTTAGATTTATATTTTGAAATAGTTAGATTTATATTTTGAAATAGTTAGTTTACTTTCTGTGATTTGTCATCATTGTGATTGTCTTGGTCTCATGTCTTAGAGTATTTATGTAATAGACTGTCAGGAAAATTACAGCTTGCAGATGTGACATGACAATGACCATTTACATAGGCGAAGTGGCTTCTGCAGCCAAATGCTATAGTCCACAGTTCCTCACTGCTTCCTCCCTGTCCCCACAGGAAGAATGGTGTGAGATTTAAGAGTGGGGATAAACACAACTTGCTTTCTGTGATTCTAATTCAAAAAGCTTTATTGCCTCAGCTCACATTACTCACATCTCCAGTGGAAAAAAAAAAAACCATGCGGTCTGGTGCTTCCACAGAAGCTACACAGAAATAAAGGCTAAATCCCAATCTGAAGCATGTCCTGCACTTCATAAAATGCAAGTGAATTGATCAAAATGGTAAAGATCTAGGTTTGTGGGTAAATCCCATGTGCAATGACCCCTGAAATTCAGTGGAATAATAATAAAATTACAGATATGATGAAAATTTTGTTTAAACTGTTTGCCTGGTGGGCTCATGAGAGAAAAAGAACCGCACAGGAGGGAAAAGGAAAGCAGAAGAAAGCAAGGGAAAATGCATGAAGGCAGGAAGGCACACACATCATCTTTTGCCCAACTGATGTCTCTATTCTAAGTACAATCACTGGTGTGTTAGGACAGTATACAGCCTCCACACGGGATAGCACCTGGTACAGCACCTAGTACCAAGTGCCATTCAAACACATTGAGTAGTGAGATAAGACAAGTTCTGATGAAACTATTCATAGTTGGCGTCCAGGTCAGCGACAGCTAATGTTTTTACTACTTTCACTTTTGGTCCTTCCTCTCTCAGCTTCTCTTTTTGTCTCCTTAGCCCCATTCTTCTCTTAACTCAATGGTTTGGTAGAAATGCTTTCTAGAATCAGTATCCCAGATTTTTGATTTACAATCTCTGCCAATTAGATTCTTCTCTAAGAATCAAGATTTAGGGTCCAGATGAATATGATCAAAGAACAATTTCCCAAACAGTTTAAAATGTTGAACTTATAAAGGAATATGCCTTGCAAGAGACTGTTAAATGAGCGCAGGCGTCCCCTCCTTACCATCAGAACTCCAAAGTGGGTGAAGTGGTTACACAGACAGACCGTCTCACTTGCATCTGCATCTCTATGTGCAGTACATCCAGATGTGTTCCAGCCTCCAAAACTTTCTGTAGGGGGAATCGACAAACAGCGGACAATGGCAGCAGGTCAGTGTCTGCTCTGTAATGGATGCTACCTACTTTTAGGAAATTTGCTTTGTCTTACTGACTTGATCTGTGAAGCACACATCACTCTGAAAGCTACCAATATTTAGAATTGCTTCAGTTCCTGGACTGAGGTAGTTCGACTGTCGGTGGGCAGTGAAGGACTATCTATTTACAGAGCCTTCAATGTGCTTACCATGGGGGTGTGGTGCTCAGGGTTTCTGCATGTGCTTGTTTTAATTTTAACATATCTTTAAATAAACCTCTATGAAAAGAATACTCTTTTCCAAATGTGCTTTGAACTCATACATTCTCTAAGGATTAGGATTTTCCCCTATTTTATCTATATTTTTGTAAATACACAAGAACAGGGAAGTTTGTTTTTTTGGAATGTGCTAGTAGGTATTCGGCAGTCACATGTCAGAAGGGCAACATGTATTGATACTGGAATTGATTCAGCCACAGTAATTCTGAGCAGAGACCCTGGTGGGGGGAGAACCTTAGGGGACAGGATGCTCCCTCACTTGTACTGCTACTCAAAAAGATTTTTCTACCTTGGGTTTAATGACTTCTTTATCCTTAATTTCATCTTCCTTTACTGAATGTTAAACATCATTTTGGAAGCTGCTTATTCCTTTCAAGTAATATGTGTGTTTCACGATTCTTTCTATATGGATGCTCCTTTAGCATGTTTCTCCTTCTGTCCCATCTGAGGTGTGAAAACTGGATTTCAAATTGTATATGTCCTTAAAGAATGGGTCAAGTGAAAACTACAATCTGAACGTGGTAACAAAACCAAACATTGCATCTTACAAACAGCTGAAATAAAAAACATTGCTTCACTTAAAAAGAAAAACAAAATAGAGTTAAATGTACCTTAGATGCATGCAATGATTGAGAAGTTACAGAAATTAAAACTGATTTTCCAAGTGACTTAAACTGCATTTTGTACATTACACTCACATTGTGATTCACTCTCGCTTGGACAGGAATTAAAGGAAATGAGGGTGTTTAACAATATTTAAAATTCAGTTGCTATCTATATTAAGACAACTAGAAATTTAAAACTTACTGTTTTTGTTCAGATCCCAAAAGGCACAGATGGGATGACGTACTTCCTGTATTAACATAAGAATAAGCATGACAAGTCGAGATTTAAATAACTTAGAAATGGTATGATTTAAATATGCCAAATACATAATAATGACAAGGGTTTCACATAGAAATGGATTTATTAGCTATTCTAACACAGCTTGAAAATATTACATAAGTTAGGGGATTCTTCTTACTTATAGAAACGCCCCATGTGAAAAATCAACCATAATTTCATGAGGAATCCTATTATCCTATTACTGTGGGTTATGATATATGTTCCATAATTAAATACAAAGTTCTTTATCATTCTTAGCATTCAGTGAAGCTCTTTAAATTCTAACTTTACACTATACTCAAAATTATCCTTTAATATCTCAGTATATAGTAAACAAATTAAAAACATGGACCCCATAGGTGCTCACAGCAGCATTATTCACAGTACCAAAATGGGTACATACCTACAAACTTATACTATTCAAACTCTAAAAAGAAACGGATCTGACATATGCTGCAGCCTGAATAAACCATACGCTATGTGAAATAAGCCAGTGCCAACAGCACAAATACCATAAGATGCCATTTACATGAGATTGGAGTATTCCGATGGATAGAGATGGAGAGTAGGAAGGAACTTCAAAAGCATGGTGAAAAAAACTTGACACAGAAGAGAATACACATTTTCCTTGGACTTTAACAAGACCCCTTCCATAACACCGCTTTTAGGGGGCAGTTTGAAGGAAAAGAATGGGGAGTTAATATTTAACAAAGACTGTTTCAACTGTGGAAGACAAAAGTTCTGGAGGTGGATGAGGCTGATGAATTCCCAATAATTTAAATATGATTATGACTACTTACCTGGACTCTTAAAACAGCAATAAAATGACCAATTTTAAGAATATTTCACCAAAATAGAAAACAACAAACAAAACAAACAAAACAAACAAATAGAAATCATGGTCTATAGATGAGGAGAGAGAAACAGAGAGGCCGTAGGGCAGAAGGAAGGCTCAAGGTCCACGACCAGGGAAGGCCAGCTCTTAGATGACCGAACTCCAATCCTTTGCCCAGATTACTGTGCTCATTTCCTGCTGCCTTCCTGCCTGCCTAATAAAGGGCAGCATCATGCACAGGCCTCTGGAAAAGTGAGACGAGCCTGTACCTGGGCCAGCTGGGACAAAACCCTCTTCTCCTTTTATCAAATAAACAGATGATAGCAAGGGTAATGAAGCAATAAGCAAGGCCCCATTTGCCAAGATCTTAACCAACAGCTAACCTCTTGAAGTCCGCCCTCTCCTATTCTCCAAGCGCAATTAGCTTTGACTTTAAAAATGTAAACAACTGAAACCTCCTGGGGCAGAATGGTGCACTGCATCGACAAGTACTGGCATATTTCCATCTTTAAGGGTTGTAGTGCTTTTCCTCACTTGCATTCTCTTTCACATTATTGGATCCCAAATAAGAATAATTCCCCAACTCACTGCCACAGATCAGAGCTAGAGAGCAGTGCCCAGTTAGCTTTTCTCCCTTTCCAGAAGAAGGCAGCCAACACCCTCACAACACTTACTTTTATCATGTCTGAAATGATCTGCCTCTCTTCAATGGCTATTGGTAGCACTTTCTTACCTGAGTTCTTGTATGTTTGATCTTAATTTGCACAGGATCTTTCAAATCCTTTATAGTGATGTTTCCAATACTGCATGCCATCACATAACTCACTAAAATTTTTCTTTGAGGTCCTACATCCTTTTAAAGAACAGAAAAGTTGCATGCATTAGTTAGAAGTACACACTTTCATTTCATTTGGGGAATCCAAAATAAGCAAACAGTCAGCAACTTTTACACTTAAGATCTTCAATTCTAGAACATCCTGTTTATAACATCAAGTTGCTGGCTTTCCTGAAGGAGCTCTGCTATTTCCCTTATTATAATAAATACGTTGAGGGAGCGTAACAAGCCAATATTGTCAGGCAATGTTCATAAAACTCCATTCTTGATTGCTGTGACTGATGTCAGCTAGGTAATATCTGAAACAATGCAAAGCCATAAACAATATAAACTCATAAAAAGCTGTGAAACACTTAGATCATTTCCCTGCTCTAGAAAACAGATGAAGTTGTTCCTTCACAGAAACATGAAGGAAATAAGTGTGTGAAAAATAAAAAGTCATTCATCTTTCACATCCATGCCAACATGCGACAGGTTGACTAACACACACAAATCTAGTTTTACTGGATTAATGTCCCATCCAGAAGCTGTCCCTTCTTTGCAGGTCATACCCTTGCCAGCATCTGCAGATTCCACTGCATGATAAGGCCATCCGGAAATCAACTAGGTGGATCTGTGCTACAAAACAATTTGGGCAATGGACTGTCTTGCCAGCAAGCTTATCTCTATTTTTGCTGCTTCTGTGTTTCTTGTCAAATCTCCTGACTTTCTATTTCATAGCTTATAAATCAGTTGGAAAATAATTACAGGATTGTTTCAACTCCAAGCAAGTCTCAGCATTAGAGTGCAGTTTTCTGGTTTTTATTGTTGTTTTGGTTTGTGTCTGTCTTACTGACTTTCTGTGTCAGTCAATATCACTAAAGTCAGTTATTAGCTGGTGATAAACCAGTCTTTTACTAAAAATGTATTCCTAGGGGCAGTGTTATGGCACAGTAGGTTAAACCACCACCTGTAACACAGGCATCCCTTATGAGCCCCAGTTCAAGACCTGGTTGTTCCTCTTAGGATCCTGCCCCACACCAAAAACCCTGAAAAAGAAGCAGAGGATGGCACCAGTGCTTGGACCCCTACCAACCAGGTGAGCGACCTGGAAAGAGTTCCAGAATTCTTGCTTTCTATTGCACCAATTCCAGCTGTTGAGAACATGTGGAGAAAGAGCATGGGAATGGACCATCTTTCTCTGTAATGCTGTCTTCAAATACACAAATGAATATTTTTAACTTTGTCCTATTACTTGTTATTTTATGGGGATATCATAAAACCTGCAACATTTTTGACTACTGTAAATTTACTGTAAAAGCCAAACATATGCTCCCTAATAACAAAGAAGAATGGAAAATGGCATGGAGAAGGAGCGATATAAAACAGTAGCATATCCTTAAGAATTCTGCCAAACTCATCCTACAGGCCAAACTCCTCGTCTAAATAAACGTCTCTCTACCATTCACACCTTACGACACCTACCACGCTATTGACATATTTTTTAAATGGTGACATTGTTATAAGTCTCGAATCACAGCAATCTGAACAAACACAGTTATGAGTATCCATAGGTTTAAAAAAAGAGGGTAATTTACATGGCTTTTCTATATATAAACCGCTTTTATACAAAGTACATAATTTTTATGTTGCTTGCTCTGCAAACATTTACTGATGAGAAATTTTGATTTATTTTTCTGTGGAATTAATTACTGCCAAATAATTCCACCCATTCCTTTCCTATAGCTTTATTAGCCAGTTCCCTTAACCCGATGTATAAGGACAACCTCTGAGAAGCAATTCTTGCAACCTTGAATCTTGCTTTCTTGTCTTATATAGGCTCTATTGCTTGACACACACTGATATGTGGACTTCAAGAAATGGTTTTTATTTTTAAGAAAGGGCTCAATGAAACTTTTCTAGATGGAACTGCGCTCACAAAGGCAACTGGAGGTCACCAATGTTTGCTGGCAGCAGAGCTTCCAAGATCTAGAAATGATGCCAATACAAATGATAATCTGTGCTCAGTACAATGCCACTCTGCTCTACGGATGTGTGAAGGTCCAAGGTCACTTGGAACACTAATGGAAAACTGATTAAAGCCAAGAATGCAGCTCATTATGTAAACAGTGCTTCCTGCTACATTGAAAAAAAAATCTCCTTTCGGAGTACAACTTCTTCAAAGATCTACGTGACAGGACAGCATAAAATATTAAGAGAAGGAATAACAGTGATGTTTGCACTAAGTCTATATCGATGGTATCATGCAAGTTTCAGCCTTATCATTGACTTACTTCAAAAACTTCAGTGAATATCAGCAGTTAACGTATATTATTGCCTGAAGTATATGTCTAAAAGAATTAGACATAAGGTTTTAAATTTTGAAAATAGTCAGTTTTCTGTAACTCCTGATATAATTCAAAGCATATTGAAATTTCACTCTTACCTTTGTGCAAGGAAATTTCATTTGCAATTGAAAAATAACATTGTAATGTACACCTACCTGGAAAAGTCCAGTTTTGTTGAAGAAAGTAAACTGTGCTCTTCTAACTAATACAGCATCTTCTTGACTCAAATTGTCAAGTAAGTTTGGAGGCAAAATGACAGAAGCCAATGGATCCACTTGTCCACTCTCAAAATCCATCTGTCACACACATAGATATGTTGATGAAATCATCAAGGAAATTGATAATGACAAATTTGTTTCATATATTAAGTAGAGAGAACAACTACTGGTTTCAGGTTAGCCAGGACCATGGCTTTCCCCTTGACCTCAGAGTAGTTCCTGCAGTTCCTGGACAAATCCCTTTAAACATATTGCCAGAAACCTCATTTAATATTTGCAAGTGTGGCAAAAGAGAAAAATGCACTAAGTTTTGACTAAGGACAACAGGAAAACTTACACTACACTGGTAAGTAAAACTTACATTGGTTCTGCCTTTTTTGTTTGTTTGTTTGTTTGTTTTGTTTTCTTGGTTCTGCCTTTTAAGTTAAAATATTAGCTTTAACATTATCAGACTGTAACATTTTTACAAAAAAAAAAAAAACATAATGAAAGAAAGACACAGAAGTTAATCTGACTGCATGATTGAGCTCTCACTGTGGAAAGGCTATGAACACTCAAGTACTGTTTTTCCTGAAAGCATAGCCCAGGCCTGTGTTTGCTTACATGCTTGGAATAAACTGAGACGACAAAGTTATCACTCCTAAAATGTAAAACACAACTACATGAAAGAGTACCTCAAAGACACTTCCACATATCCCCGTTCCGGAACTGTAACATAATGTTTTGTCTACAGCTCAGGTAAAGACGTATTAGACTACACACATATTCTCTCCCTGGTCAGCCTACACTTCCTTCATTTTGTGTGCTTCTGTGGCCAGTGCTGTCTTGCAGTACCACACAGATTTGAAAACCAATGCTAAACAGCACCTTAAGAAGCCCAGAGGGTCTCTGTTAATCTGGCCAAAACTCACTCTACCATTCCCAGAGCTCAACACTCTTGGATTTTGAAACCATGGGCTTCAGACCAGCAGGCTCAGCAATACCTAGAAACTTGCTTAAAGTGCAACTCTTTAACTCAGGACCTATTAATTTATAAACTCTGGAGGCAAGGCCAAGCAATCTTTCTCAATAAGTCCTCTTGGAGATTCTACTACTCAGTTTGAGAACCACTGGCCAAAACAGTGTGCATGTACCATCTCAACTTTGTGCCTTAAATTAAGCTCCTTCCTCCAGCTGCATTAATCTTCATCCCCACTCCCAACAGGGCAGCCCCTCTTCCTGGTTTAATGCTCATACTGAGCTCCAGCATCACCTTCTGTAGGACGTAAATGCTCCATCTAAGAGTACGCCTCTTGGTTTCCAAAAGGCCTCTTGGCTACACTTATAGCTATTCTTTATCAATGTTTAAACCAGTGTACTGCCATCTAGATCGATATTTCTTTAAAGGAGCTACTGTTACATGATCAATAAGTTTTAGTTTTTCCAATTAACCAGTTTAAATGAGAGAGAATAATGGTTTATTACCTGGAAATAGGATTCGTTATTGCTTGGAAGCCCAATGCTAAAATTTGAAATTCCATTTGCCCCCGGAGAAAGAGATGATACTCCAAGAGCCAGATTCCGTGTCATGATGTTCACATGTGGTGTGCTATTTAGTTCTATCTTGAAGGCCAACTCATCAATTGTTTTTAAAGCTCTAAAGAAATAACAATACCCCTGGTAACTAATACAACAGTTTTGACATTGAACATCCATGTGTTGCTATGTGGTAAAATACAAATCAAACTGTCCTTAAAATTTTCTGATGTTAATTATGTAAAAATGACCACAAATCATAATTATGCCAGTTAAAACATAAAACCACAGAGATGGATGTACTGACAAGAGAATATCTGCTCTAAGGAAAATCAGTAACTGAAGCATCTTGAACAAATACTGTTTATATTTATCTCAGTATCTTTTTTCTCACATGGGAAATACCTTTCCTACCTCATTACTTACTAAATATATACGACCATAATGTGTTAAAGTGTTTTCTAAACTTCAAGATAGTAAACATATCTGTAATCATTATTATTATGTAGATAAAGTACATTAGAGAATACATTTTAACCAATATAAATTTTTATTTAAAAATGTGATTGAAAGGAAGGAAATCGGGGAAAATCTTAATACGGTAAATAAAATAGTTGGTATTTATAAAACACTTGCCCTAGGCATTTTAGTTCCAGAAGAACAGCATTCACATGGTGGTGGCATCCTGTCACAGTTCATATGACAATGGACTTATTGTTACCAACGTATGCAGAACCCTGGCTAACTAAGCTTTTATAATTTTTCGAATGAAAAATTAAATAGCAACTATGTTTTTCAAAGGCTATTTATATATTTTTCCAGATAAGAACTCTAAGCATTTTCTAATGTATATTTTATATACAGAAATTTGTTTTTGACCTTGGGAACTATCAATGCACCCTCCAGAGGTGTGAACGGTAAAGTCTGAGCACAAAGCATTCAGACATTGAGAAATTACATAACACATTTTTTCCAAAAATCTCCAGAAAGAAATTAACAACAAAGTACTTACTCAGAGGAGGATTCAAGCAAGTCACTGTCTGAACTGCTTAAGATATTAGAAAATATATTCATTAAAGTTGAGCCAAGTGTTACATCAATGTTTTCTTCTTTGTTTACAATTCTTTTGACCTGTTCCACAATACTAGTGATATTGGCTGAGGTTAAGTTCTGCCCATCAGCAGTTAAATTTAAAATCTCACTGGCAACTTCATTTGCTTCCCCTATAAAGATAAAAAAAAAAAAGGTACACAAAGTTTGGCCTCTGATTTTGAATACCTGCAAGAATCCAAAACACAGTATGATGTGTGTGTGTATGTGTGTGCGTGTGTGTGTGTCTGTGTGCGCGCGCTGTAGTTACCAGGGGAAATCAGAGTTTCAGTGTATTACTCCCTTATCACCATCTTCGTGTGACAAACAATTTTTCCTTATAGTCATGTTATTGTGTTTACTCTTTGGTGAGATACAACTTGGAGAGATCAGCGTTCCCACACGTTCTAAGAGAAATGTCCCCAGAATCATTCAATAAGCATGTATCTGCTGCTTAAAAATAAGTTTTAATTACAGCAACTTACATATGATTCTCATTTTCTTCTCTAGAACATAATTACTACTTTTTAATCTCTCACAGAATTAGTAAGATAGAAAGTCAGATTCAGAAAAACAATCTTCTATCTGAAGTAAATGAAAGAAGCAGTTCCCCAAGGTTTATAATTAAATAGTATCACACAGCAGAAGAACATGTCTAAAGAGAAAAAAAAAATCATGAAGAATGAGATCATTTCATTATGTCACTGAGAACTGAAGAAAAACTGCTTACTTGAACAATTGGAGATATCAAGAGGCCCCCAGTAAGCCAGAGATGTGTTGGAAGAGTTGGGATAGCTGTGAAATAAACAAAGATATTTCAAATATTTTGCATAAGTGAGTTTATAACTTACAACCCATAGCTCTTGCAAAAAAAAAAAAACCCACAAAAACAAAACTAGCAACATACACCATGGAAACAAAATACTAGCATTATCTCTATTATCTGTTGCCTTTAAGCATTTATTTTGGTCAATTTCTGCTTAAGTATTCTACAGGAAATATCTGATTCTTCTTTCATACAACTCCCAAAGTTTACATTTTATAGAGGAGGACATTGACATAAATAAGTCAACAAAATTTTCAAGGTCTTTAGCCAGAAAGAGGCAGGGTCATGCTGCAAACTCTTGCCCACAAACCTTGAAAACACTCCTTCCTTAAGAGATGTCAAACAACAGTAGGCGTAGAATATTTAAACCTGAGTAAGTGCCACTCCTGAATCCCGCCCCGGCCCCTGAAAAATCTAACAGGGAGTAGGATGGATAGTGAACAACGGGATTTGACTTGATATTTGGTGGCTCTCTGCAATGGTCTTCTAAGAACAGTGAAACACCTGTATCTTGACAGTAACTAACAGCAAACTCCTGCAACCCAGAAGCTCCTATTTATCATTCTCCTCCCTCCAAATAATTTTAAAAACCTGGAATTTCAGATGTCCCAAGTTTGCAAACTAGAGGAGTTCATCTGTGTATAAGGTGATATGCTCTGGCACCACCCTTCTGGTTTCTAAATTCCTTTTCCTTCTTGGGAGGACTCAATTGGCAAAACAATGCCACATCTGGGTAGCCCATCTATCTGACTTTTAACCCCCAGAATAATCTAATTTAGGCAGCGATTCTGACCCTGTTTTCCAGTCAATTTAATGAATGTGAACTATGATGCAGCACCTGTCACCCTGAGAAAACAGATGAAGAGGAGCTTTGAATGACAGACAACAAAAGAATTACCACATCCGTGAAACAAAAAAGCCAGGCTTGTCTGGACAGGCGAGGCTGTATTCAGAGGGTGAAATGGATGGCCAGTGAAAGCCTTCGGGCTCCTCCAGGGCAGCACACACACCTAGGAGGAAATGAGGGCCAACAGGCGAAGTGCATGTTAAACTCAAAACAATACTTGCACTTAGGTACTCATCTCATGTAATTCTAAAACACTGGGGAAATTTAAACAGGTAACACATTTCAGACAGAAAATGATTACATCTTAAAAGAACACCATTAAATTTATTCACTCCTGATGTGTAAATGTAAAACTCACATTATTGATGTAAGTCTTGAGCAGATAATATTACTAAGTTGCATGAAGAAATAAACACTACAGAAAATGAAAACAAACCTGAAAAAGTCAAAACGTAATTTAATCTTTGTAAAAGGGAAAAGTTTACAGAATAGTGAATCAATGGGTTACTGCTAAATTGTGAGTACATTTCACAGAGAAATTTCCAGCTGCTGATAACACTCACTGCCTAGAATCAAGAAGGCATATGTAAGCCATCTCCACACACGGAACTCCACATTTTCCTCCTCAAATCATTCCACTCCTTCCTTGAAAATTATTTGTATAAGTATTGACATAAAGAATTCTGTTTACTGTTTTATAAAATATGAAGGTGACATCAATATGCCAACAACAACAACACTGCATATTTCAATGCTGAGAAACAAGCTAAAATTTCATTCTAGAGTCACTGAAAATTCCAGTGTTTTATCCCTTTGATAGAGCAGAGTTTAAAATTACCATACTTACGTCTTAAAGTTTTTCAAAGTGCTATAAAATCATCCTCATACTCACTTTTAGAAAAACAATAAAATGCAGGGTGTAAGTTAAATCATGACATATGTACACAGGGTTGTCCTGGGAATCTCCTAGCTTCTTGGCACAGATGGGGTTGGAACTGCCAGGTTCCAGGTCCCAGGTAAATTACCACTTGTCCAGTTCCACTTCTGTGTACACCCGATGTGTAGAAAGACAATAGTGCGCACTCACCCTGCCCAAGAAACTTCACATACTGGGAAACAAATATGTTCCCACAAAGGCTCAGAAACTGTTATTAGCATGATTACCACGATTATTTGCACTCATTTACCGCTAGAGTTCCCGTAATTGCATATGTTGACACAGTAGAGAAGGGTGGTTCCCTGTCACAAGGGAGGAGATGCCAGACTGTTTGAAGAATCCTGTTTCTGCACCAGTGGTTACCACGGTGTTACTGGACGCCTCAGCCTTATTTCCCTACTTCAGCCTTATAGCACATATAAAGCCAGTGTTTGATCCCTACTAAAGTGTCTGAGGACCCAGTGGGAGGTTACTGCAGCACATTCTTAGAAGATTGTTCTGAGGAGAGCACTGGGCTCAGCTATGCTGTTTCCTAGCTAGCCACATGGTTATTCCTCTACTTAGACTAATAAGGCTGCTGGAAACATATACATACACATTTTTTTTTACAAGTCAAAATAAGCTGGTTCATTCTCCAGATGACTGCAACGGCCAGGAATTTAGACCAGGCTGAAGACAGGAGCTTGGAGCTCCTCTGAAGTTCCCACATGGACAACGGGTAGTCAGGAACTTGGAACACCTTCCACAGCTTTTCCTGGGACATTAGCAGGGAGCAGCCAGGACACCAAGGATCATACATATTGGACTCCAGCATTGTAAGCGGCCTCTTTATCAGCCACACCTCAACACTGACCTCTATTTCTAGCATCCTTTTGTCACCAATATGATGAATTAATCATCAGAAAAAGTTAATTACACATAAGTAAGAAAAAGGAAAGCCATTTGTCTTGTTTAGTTAAACTGACTCTAGACATAGAAAATGTATTAGAAGAATTAAAATCACTTACCCAGTTGCCTCACATTTACTGTATATAGCTTCAAGCCCTCATCCAGGGATTCATTATTTTTTAAGAGCTTCTGCTCAATGGTTTTTCCTTCTAAATTGGCATTGTTGGTAGCATTGTAAACTAGAAGGGCCCAAATCACCATCCTAGGAAACATTTCAAATAGAACTGTTGTTAACACTGTGGATTGGCTAGTTGCTCTACTGGGAAACAGAACACTTAGATCTGGAAGGTTGGTAGTGCAGTGCTGAGACTGAAAAGATGGTCAGAGTGCTCTAGAACTTTCTCTGCTGCTACATAAATTACAACATAAAAATAATTCAGTGAGGATATATTTTGCAGAATAATAAATGTACAAATACATCACCCTATTTTTTTCATAAATGTTTAAATGTTTATTAGCAGTAATGTTATATTATTTATTAATACTTTATATAATGTGAGAATATATCACATACAATAACATAATAGTTTACACATCAAGAAAAAGCCAAACTTATAATAAACTTTACATTATTTTTAAATGGTCAAAAACAAAATTTCTAAAGAAAAATGGACTCCCAAGGAAACTATTAAATACATCGTGACAACAGGATGCTAAACTTTCCACTACTGTCAATACTTAGCCATGATCTACACTTAAATTGCAGAATGAAGGACTTAGGGCTGCTGTTAAAGGACTTTACCAGTGTAATAATATAGGAGAAAACAATGGCAGCAGGGGAAGGGAACTGGCGAGGGTGGAAGGGAAAATCCCTGAGCCTATGTAGGTGCATCATGAAAAAAAGAAAGAAAGATTAGAATTTCAATGAATCATTTGACTTCCAAAATTATAAAACTGCTATCGTTCACAAATGTGGTAAAATTTCTTTCAGGAAAATGACAAATGATTTCTCCATTTCTGTGAACCATTTTTTACAGTATATTCTGTGATCAGTCAGTGTGATGCTGAAGAACGTGATAGAATGGCTGACCTTGAAGATCTTTAAAGAATACATATATCTTTGAAAAGCAAAGAGACATGTCCTAGAAGCCCTGGAAAAACTTTTGATTTCGCAATTTCAGGTCATATAATTTTGCATTTACCAGAAATCTCACCTATAATAAGAGAAATCAAAACTACCGATTTAACATTGAAGTAAAATTAAATTACATTATTTTGTCACACCGAAGAAAAATGTCTGCTTTGTATGAAAAATCACCGAGTTTGCAGCAAAATTTCCTTGTTCTTTTTATTCTGATGAGAAATGAATAATGTTACACAACTGCTAAGACATTTTAGCTTCAAGATCAACTACTGGGCCCAGCACGGTGGATCAGTGGTTAAGGTCCTCGTCTTGCACGCCCGGGATCCCATATGGGCGCCGGTTCTATCCCAGCAGCCCTGCTTCCCTTCCAGCTCCCTGCCTGTGGCCTGGGAAAGCAGTCGAGGACGGCCCAAAGCTTTGGGACCCTGCACCCTCGTGGGAGACCCGGAAGAGGCTCCTGGCTTCAGATCGGCATAGCATGGGCCTTTGCGCTCACTTGGGGAGTGAATCATCGGATGGAAGATCTTCCTCTCTGTCTCTCCTCTCTGTATATCCGCCTTTCCAATAAAAAAAATAATAATAAAAATAAATCTTTAAAAAAAAAAAAGATCAACTACTTTTATATCCAAAGAAGCAGCAGCATTTTTATTTATTACTTATCTGTTCATTTATTACTCATTTGTTTGTTTTACAAACTCAGAGTACTCAGTGAAGAGATATAAGCAGATTCATAGAATTATCTGAAAATAAGTTAGACTATGAATATATTTTTGGTGATAAAAACAATTATGAAATGTTGTTCAGTAGCATGTTATTTGGTTTCATGTTATAAATTTTCCGGGTTTTTTCCTATTGTTAACTTTGTTTTATGGCTTTCATCTAAAGGAATATACAGTAATTGTTTAATATGCATATGTGAAGATGCAGCACGGTATGCATCTCTACTTTCAAATCGAAGATGGACTCCAAACGAAACTCCTAAATGTTTCTTGACAATAGGATGCTAGACTCCCTGCCATTGTCCATACCTACCATGTCAGGATACACTTAAAAAGCAGAATGATGGGCTCATAACTATTCATGAAGGACTATACTGTAGTAATAATATACAGGAAATCAGTTGGGGGAGGGGTGGAAGGAGGAAAAATCCTAGAGCCTATGGAATTGTATTATAAAATCATAATAAGAAGAAATAACAAATGAAATACCTTCTATTCAGCATTAGGTGGAATTACAAAATAGTTCTATTTTGTGCCTTTCAATATCTGTGCTAGTCTCAAAAATGAAAGTTTTATATTTTCATAATTCATTATGAAAAGCTGTATTCCCTAAAAATAATCTACTACTGTCTGTTCATATGTAAATTGTTTTTGCAAGATGATACAAGCAGATGTGAATATAAGGGTGAAATGTGATAACTGAGTAATTTAAAAATGGTCTATGAAAAACCGTCTCTAGATTAAATGAATGCTGAAAAATAAACATTGCCCTTGAAGTTACTGAGAAATTTCTGATGGGATTATCTATGGTCTTGATATTTCCTCACTTGAATATTAAGAACATAATCGGAAATGCACGATGATGGCCGACGTAGGAGGAAGGCTGTGAGGGAGCGTCCAGTGAAAGAGGGATAGAAAGTTACAGAAGCAGCAAAGAGGAACAGCAGGGAATCGCAGGGAGAGGTCCGTGAGGCTCCCTGGGACAGTGTGGAGCCAAAAAGATCCACACAACTCGGAAGAACAGCGAGAACGGAGCAGGGCAAAGGTAGAGAAACCGACATCCCACTCCAGACCTGCTGAGTCACTTTTGAAAACAGCCTGACGGGAGTCGCGGACAGCCCGGAGGCGGGGAGATCGGGCGGATCGTCGCCGGCGGGAGGCGGAGGCAGACTGCAGCGGCCGGACGTTTGGTGAGCCGGGGGGTTGACGTGGCAGCCTCCGCATTCCTTGACCCCTACTGAGGCTCCAGCCTCTGAGAACGCGGGGCAGACAGACTGAAACTGTTGGGTTTGTGCCTAGGGAACTACGCACAGTGGTGTTGGTGGCTGAGGGGGCCCCAGGAAGGCGCCTCGGATGTTCCTACACTGAGGGGGCCAGTGCGTCTCAGTGCGCAGAGGCTGCTTGCGAGGATCTGGAGTCCTCCACATCCTGCCTGGTGGAAGCGCGATAACATCAGGTAGACCCTGGTCGCTGCGCCGAGCGGACTAGGCGGCCCCGCCTGCAGCAGCCGCCTCCACAGCGCAGGTGTCAGGTGTCAGGAGAGCTCCCAGTTTTGGGAAGTGTAGCGCTGTGTGTCCCCGACACGCAGGTACCACTCCCATAGGGTGAACTGCTCACCCCTCGCCTCCCACCCCGCAGTTCTGAGCGTGGGCGACCCACCAGGAGAGCCCTGAAAACTCCTGCACCACACTGACAAGGTGCGAACCTGCCGTGAAATTATAACAGGGCGCCTGGGCCACTCCTCCGCTAAGGGCCTGTGTGGGGGAGCCACACAGGAGCAGGGGCTCTGAACACCCACACACCACGAGTGGTGGATTCACTGCACAAGAGCCACGCCTGGAAAGTGCCTCACCCACAGTCCCGTGTGTGGGAGACGCACCAGGTGGGCTCTGAAAAACCTTGCAGTCCCTGACACGGAGAACGCAGGGAGAAAGCACATAAAACCTTCTAAGTCCTGTGGATTCCCGTGCAGGGGGCACACCCAGAGAGCGCCTCCATCCCTCCACGCCCTGGGGTGTCACACCTGTAGAAGAGGTGCCCAGAGTGTGCCTGGAATCCACTGGGCCCCCAAGGTGGTGCTCTACAGCCCCGGGCCCTGAGAACGCACCAACGGTGCCTTGAAAATTACCACGCCCGGCAACACCACGCCTGCAGGCTCCAATCTCTACAGGAAAGCACCTGACAGCCCCTCAACACACGGGTCCATTTGCCTCACCAGAATTCACCAACGCAATGGGAAAAACCACCAGAAAGAGCTGTGCTCCAGATGAAAGAGCCAGCACCCCACCAAACATGGGCCAAAAGCCATTATCAATATCGGCGATGCGAGATGAAGACATGGACGTGTTACCAGCAAAGGAATTGATGAAAATAATGCTAAAATTTCTCAGAGACGTGGACACAAAGCTGGAAGACTACCAGAACCGCATAATCACCGAAATACAACAAATCAAAACCAAACTGGATGCCCAAGAGAATAAAATTGAAAGCCTCATCAACAGAATAAATGCGGCAGAGGAAAGGATCTCTGAAACAGAAGACACACAAAATGAAAGTGCCCAGCGAATTAAACAGCTGGAGACAAACCTCAGCAAAACTAATAAAATGATGCAAGAGATGAAGGATTACCTTAGAAAACTGAATATTCGGATCATCGGCCTCCCTGAGGGAGTAGAAAGAGAATCTGGGATGCAAGCAGTGCTTGATGAAATTATACAGGAAAACTTCCAAAACACTTGGAACACGAATCCACCCCGCATACAGGATGGACAGAGAACTCCCAACAGACATGATCCAAAGAGATCTTCACCCAGACACACGGTGCTCAGGTTCTACTCCAATGAAGACAAAGAAGGAATCCTGAGACAAGTACGAAGTAGAGAAAAGATCACATACAGGGGAAAACCCATCAGAATCACTGCTGACTTCTCCGAAGAGACCCTACAAGCAAGGAGAGAATGGACAAAGATCTTCCAAGTCCTGAAACAAAACAACTGTCAACCAAAAATAATCTACCCAGCAAAGATCTCATTTGTATATGAGAACGAAATCAGATACTTCAATAGCAAAGAAAAACTAGAAGAATATGTCTACACAAAACCAGCTCTGCAAAGTCTCCTTAGAAATGCACTAGTCCCGGACAAAAAGGAGGCAAATCACAAACAAAGCTGGCAAATAAGAAGGTCTCCAAACTAAAAGTTGCACAAACAAGACAACTACATAGGCAACAACACACACACAACACAATCACATGGCAGGGCAAAATTGCAAACTCTCAATTTTAACTCTCAACACAAATGGTCTAAATTCACCAATCAAAAGACAGAGATTAATAGAATGGATCATCAAACAAGACCCAACCATCTGTTGCCTACAAGAAACGCATCTAACCAGAAAGGA